GGAAGTTGCGGTGCCCTCTGCGTCCTTCCGCCCGTTAAGACGAGAGGATACAGAGGAAACGTGTAAGGACACGTCCGCGGGAAAACGGAATTTGGGGAAGCGGATATCCCGGCGCCCCTCTGCCCGTTAGGTCACCATCGCAGGTAAACGGGAAAAGAGCTACGGCGGGGTGTGGGGACTTGCCTTCCGGTCACTTTCACTTCCGGCACTTTTCACTTAGTCACTTAGTCACTTTTCACTTCTATCCACTGGAGCTGGAGCTGGACTCTTCGGAGGCTCGGTGAAGACTGATTTTGTTTGCCTTTTCGGCTTGGATTTATAGCCTGCCCGGCTGCAGGTGCGCGAGTCGGTTTTGGTGGGGCACCTGCAGGTATAGTCGGGTCGGTTTGAGATGGTCTTAACCGGGTAGAGGCAGGTCGGTTACGGAGGGACACGGCTTGTATGGTTGGTTGCGTACCCTCGGGGGGTAACTTCGTTACAAAATGTCTTTTGTCACTTTTTGATCGAAACCAAAATAAACTGGTTGCTTCCAGTTAGCAAATAATCCTCGAGCCATTACTACTTGCATATAATTGTAAGGCAATGACCATGTCTTTTCTTGTGTTGTATTCTTCACTTCGTCGAACTGAAGCACCACAGTTTTTTCGAATTCAGTCATGTTCACACCGGCTAATTCAAGAAACATTAGAATGCTCTTACAAACTCCTTGGCTGATGTTTATATTTAGTGCCCAACGTCGTAATGTGGAGAGTCCGGGTAATGGATAATGCAGTTTGTTTTTTAAATAAAGATAGCACTTTTTGCTATAGTACCTTAAAGTGAACACAATTGTCATTTCCTCTTGGTTCCATTTTACCCACTTTCTTTTATTGCAAATAATCGCAATTTGATTTTTCGTAAAAACTGTTTCCAATAGATCTATTGGTATTTGAGAACTTTTTACGCTACTTTTAGTGTCTTGCTTATTATTCCGATATTTACTTTTGTAATATTTAAGCTTATCGTTTATTAATTAAATTTTTCTCCTGTTTCCAAATTGTTTTTTTTATGTTTTTCTTTCAACTTATTGTAATCTTTTAGAAGGTTTAAATATTTAATTTAAAAATTTTCTTCTTCAGTTGAGGTGTTGGGAACACAAATAGGGGATGCACTAATAAATTTCTTGGTATGTATCTTTTTCTTCAATAGGTTTTCGAATTTCTTTTTTTTTGCCTCTTTATTATTCGCTCGGTCCTAGCTTCTGTTTCATCGCTTGATAATTTAGATCCGGGCAGATAGACTGGAGGAACTGCTGTTGTCTTCAGTTTTTTACGAAGAGTTAAGCCTGGATAACAATAAAATAATTATTTAAAAAGCTAAAGGTTAATGGTGTAAAATTTTATAAAATATTTTTCAAATTAAATATTTCACGTTTACAATACTATCAATGATATTATCAAGCCCATTATAATGTATATTTGTTTTCTAAAAAAATTAAAAAACAATTTCTTATTCATTAAAGCACATGAATTTTCTCGATAGGAAAGTAGTATCGAGCGATCAAGATAATTTTTAATCGAGTCATCCTTGAATGTGAAAACGTATGTCTGTAAAATGTCAAGTAAAATAACAAGTCGAAAGGCCGAAAGGTCGAATTGGCACGATCAAAAAGGCAATGATTTGGAATAACTAAATTTATAATTTACCTTCAAAATTAATAATAATAATTATTATTATTATTATTTTTATTATTAATAAATAATAATTAATAATAATAATAATCTTTATTAACCTTCAAAAATATACACACTCAGTATCTGGAAGGTAAGTCATTTCTACGATTACATAAATAATTACACAATATACAGGTATACTTCACAAAACACATTACATTAATGAGCCTACAAATTCATCAAATGAATAATATATATTTTCTGTCAAGAATTTTTTTAAGTATGTTACATAGTCTTTGTTATTCATTTTCTTAATATCAGAAGGCAAAGCGTCAAAAATTTTTGTACAATAATAATTGATGGCATTTCGTGATTTCTCGAATCGTGTGAAATCATTTAGGAGCAAGTGTTTATGTCGTGTATTATACAAGTGTGATAAGCAGTCATAACTGGTTGAATTCTTTTTAATATGAATGAGGCAAGTGTATTTATAAAGATTAGGAAAAGTCATGATTTTTAGTTTGGCAAAGCTATTGCGACATTTTCTGTATCGTAAACCACTCATTTGCGTACACACTTCCTTTGTAATGAGAAAAGTTTAGAAGTATGAGATGAATGACCCCACAACAAAATATAGCATAAGATAGAACGCATTGAAAATATGCAAAATACGCAGTCAATACTATTTTAATAGAAGAGTAGTTAGATAATTGTCTAATTAAATGAATTTGCTTAGAGAGCTTCTCGGCAACTTAAGATACATGTGGTTCCCAGGTTAACTTTGTGTCCAGCCACGCCCCAAGAAGTTTGACAGGTTCACAGTTTTCGCAAATATCTCTTAAGGAGAAAATTATTAATTGAGTTTTAGCATTGTTGATGCTCAGTTGGTTCGCCCCATTCCAATCTCGAACCCCGAGGTCGGTCAACTGTAACCATCATGTCTGTCATTACCTTGGCTTCAGGGTGACTGTCTGTCACAGTTGTATCAAGAATGTTTTGGAATTTAACCTATGGAGAGATCATTAATGTGAATTAAAAAAAGTGTTGGGTCTAATACTGATCTCTGAGGTTTAATAGGGAGTCTAGACGAATCCAAACCACTTTGGTTAGTATACTGGTTTCTATCATTTAAGTAGCTACTAATTAGTTGTATATCTACTATTATTATGAAAGTTGTAGGCTTTTAGTTTTTTGAGCAAAATCGAGTGCGAGATGCAATCAAATGCCTTCGTCAGGTCGTAACACGAGGCAAAAGTGTGATTTTTGCCCTCAAAACCATCAATTACCGTCTCGGTGAGGTTCAGAAGCGCATCAGTGGTACTCATATTGTTCCTGAAACCAAATTGACTTTTGCTAAAAAGATTATTACTCTCGAAAAAGACTGTGATTTGTTGTTTTAGGAGTTTTTCAAAAACTTTAGACAATACAGAGAGATCGGACGATAATTGGATGGGTTGTTCGCGTCACCCTTTTTGGGGATAGGTATTACCTTAGATAATTTAAGGCACTCGGGGAAAACTCGTTTATCAATACAATTATTTATTAATTTTGTAAGCGGTATGGTTATTAAGTTTTTAATGTTTTTTTTTATAATCTTGGTGTTAAGGTCATATGCATCTTTGCTATTGGTATTTTTTAATGAGTCAATCGCCAATCTTACTTCATTGAAGGTGGCATGTCTAAATTCAAAGCACTTTACATTCTTAATGGTTGTCCAGATGCTTGGGTCAGTGTCAGAGTTATTGTTTACTGATTGGCTAGTTAAAGTTTCAGCTATGTTAACAAAAAAAGTATTGAATGTGTCTGAGGGTATCTTAGTTACTATGATAGGTGGTGAAGAGTTCTTTTTAATAATATTCCAACATGCTTTGCTTTTGTTGCTAGCTTTTTGAATATAACTTTCATGAGCTTCAATTTTTGTTGATCTGGTGTTTTTTTTGTAATGTTTTTTAAATTTAATAAAGCTTTTTTTAGTTATCCAATTATTTTTCAGTAATTAGTATTATTATACGTCGGCGACTAATTCCAGCCCATTTTGCCGTTTTACCTTCCGACTTGTCATTTTATTTGACGTTTCACGGGCAGTTAGAGATGCGTTCTCGGATGCAGAGATGACTCGATTACAAATTATCTTGATCGCTCGATATAAATACCGTGCGATCAAAAAAAATATATATTAGAGTAGGCGGTGATCAAAGTCCTTCAGATGGCAATCCTGATTTTTGACATCAAATGTCAGTGGAAACCTTTACAAGTTTGCGTTTTATTCCTTTTGAGTGAAATAATGTTCACTTTAGAGCAGAAAATTTTTATTGGTGTACAAGAGGAAAACGGTGGATGGTCATTTTCACTTTCAGTTTGTGTGAAAATTTTCCAGCCCAGATTCCCAGCCAATGTGTTGCCAACTGTAGAATTTAATCGACGCCTGCTCTAATTAATTTTTTATTTGATCGCACGGGATTATACAATAAGTGAATTAAACCATTGTTTATTTGCGAGAAGAGTGTTTAAGACTTAATTAATTCTTCGAGCAAATAAACAGGTTTAATTCACGTATTGAATACCCAGATTTTTTCGATTTAAGGAGGTCACGTAGAAGATATCGTAATAATTCTTGTCTGGTATATTGGCACAATTATACTCTCTAATCAAGCCAAATTTTATCGCTATAGGTCAAGTGGTTTGTTTGAAATAGTTTTTACCATAACTTGTAGTTAAGTCAGACTTGCGATTTTTGTCATGAATTCCATAGGAGAAAATCAGTCACCAATAGATGGTACTGACCATCAATGTTTTCCCCATTTGAATAGTTTGCCGTTGATCTGCTAGATGTTTCCTTTACTAATTTTGGCGCGTAGCTTAGACGACAGCGCGGCGGGATTTTGACGAAATTTTGTGACAATTTAAAAGTTACATAACATTTTGTAAAAGTATTTTAAAATAATAATGCCAAAAGTAGAAATTTCTATTTTAGAAAATTTTCAATATATAGGTGCTCGCGACAGGCCTCTTAAAGAAGGCGAAGCGGTTTTTAAAGCAGGGCATATCATTTTGTGTGGAGTGAAAAACAGTGATACTAAAACTATTGTAAGCCTCTGCTTACAAACTAGTGCATTAAATTCACCCCCGCATGAAATAAATGTAAATATAAGTGAATGTGATGTGTGTACTCGTAAGTGGAAGTGTGTGTGTAGTTGTAAAGGTTGTAAAGCTGGACAGTCGGGTTTTTGTAAACATGTTGTAGCAACTTTAATATATATATAAATAGGTAAAATAACATTATACAATTAATAAAATTTAAATATACATGTAGGAATGAAGACTTAGAACTAGTTGGTTGTACCGATTTGACACAGGCATGGGGAAAAGAAAAAAAAAAGGAATTGCGGGGATGTACGAAAAAACTAGAATAAATGAGTTTTGGTGTCATAAACCAACGACAATGAAATGGACATCAGATCCTCAGATAGAGAAACGCAGTTTTGACCGCTTTGTTCTTTGTAAGTAACTAATAGTTCCCATGTACATACATACCTAACATTAGATATAAACGAATGTACTTAGATCCATCCTCACTTTTAGGTAATCCTTCATCTGCAATTTCTAAGTTTTTAGAAAGAACTACCAAGAGAGTAAAAAGTTGTTCAGAACCAGATAATAAACTCAGGTATTTGTTATTAATACTTACTTTCAAATAATATAATTCATAAAACTCATACAATTTATTAATTATGTTTTTTTTTATTTTGTTATTTGTTTTAGGAACATAGAAAAAAGAATCACAGAAGAATATATAACAAATGTAATCAAAAATGCAAATTGTTCTACATTTTTGGGTAATAATGAATGAGAAATATCAAAATTAAATTTAATGAATACAGTCAAAGATCTGTTGCTTGGAAAGAAGAACGTAAGTTAAGAGTTTGTTGTACTAGATACATTAAGCATTTTTATAAATTACTTTTAAAATGCGTTTTAGGTTCAAGATGTTATTCTATATATACTTATGCAAAGGACGACTGAGAACAAAATCCCTCAATTATTTCTTTCCCAAAGAGTTTATGTCAAAATACACTGAATATGGAATTATTAATGAACCAAATGCATTAGAATGCTACAGAAAAACTACTAAACATAAAATCGTAACTCCTGGTCTCATAGTATGCAAAAATTTCCTTTGGCTAGCGTACTCACCTGATGGGATTCTTATAATTGATGGAAAACCAAGTATTTTATTAGAAATTAAGGGTCCTTTTTCAGGTTTACTTAAATTTTATTTTTTTAATTACAACACCTATTATTGTCTTTAGGCAATGAAGTGGAAGCAAAAGATTTAGTGAACATGTGCGATTACCTGATTTGAAATGAAAACAATGCCTTGACTTTAAGGAAAAAACACAAAATTTACAGCCAAATACAGTTTGGAATGGCTTTACTAAATGTAAATGAAACACATTTAGTAATTTATTCAAAATTTTCAAACTCATTTTTACAAATTCTGGTAGATTTTGACGTTATATGCCAAAAATCTTTTAGAAACTGTTTGTAATAGATTTTTAGGTAATATGTTACATTTTTTTTGTTTAAATAAATGAATGCAAATTAGAAATTGTTTTATTAATCTTCAGAAAAATGTTCAATTACTCCAAATTTGTCATCAGCCATTATTGGGGAGATAAGTTTACGAGACATGCAATTACTTTAACTATGTCGTCTGCATAGGGTACCAAATACCAAGAAAGTTGATATTGTAAAATATGGAACATTTTCATTCTTTCTATTGATCTCTCAACATGTACTCGAGCCCTTGCAATATCAGCAGTTTTTTTCGCATCTAATTTTGAAAATTGGCTTTTTTTTCTTAAAAATGGTGGTCTTATTAATTTAAAAAAAAATTCTTCACATTCTTTTTCAATAAGCACGCCTTTATCAACCATAATTCCGTCATGGGGATCAAACTTATCTATTAGTTTTTCTTTATTAAAGATTGCCTTATCACTARTACGTCCACCGTAWCCAGAACTCACAAATGAAAYTAGCCCAGAAGGTGTTATTGCTATCAGATATTTTAATGTATGGGTGCTTTTATAATGAGAATACGTTAGTATTCTGCATTTTAAGCACTTGCATCGGTCTACTTTTATTTCAGTACAATCTACAACTGCTCTTGTATTACTATATTTCTCAAAACATTTTGGCAGATTTGCTATTATCTCTTCCTTTGTAGGCCAGTATATTAGAGGCTTCATTGATACTGACAACAGTGACAAAATCGAGTAAAAGTATCTACTTACAGATGACGTAAATAAATTAAAAAGGATAGCCAGACACGTAAACGGTAAATTTAGTCGAATTTTTATAAGTACAATAATCACTTTTAACATTAAATCGTTCACTTTTTTGTTATTAAAATTAGCTACTTCTTCAGCACTTTCAACAACAGCTCTTAAAATGGGAATACTGATAGCTTTTAATTTTTCATTATTGTTTACTAAAAGGTTTTCAAAACCAAAATCCGTTTGGGTGCTTTTGTCACTTTTTTCATTAATATCAATAAAACAATCAATCTCCATTTTTTCAATTTTGTCAGTAGATAAAGGCGGTATTGAGAAATTATTTAAATGATTAAAATTTGTTTCCAGATTTGAAGTGGTATTGGAACTGGTTGAGGTATTAGTCGAGATAATAGTTGAGGTAACACTGGAGGTAGTAGGTAGTCGAAGTAATAGTTGAGGTAGTAGTTAAGGTCTTAGTCGAGATAACTGTCGAGGAAGTAGAGTAACTTTCTTCTGAATTGAATTTTTGGCATCTTTTTTGGACGGATAATAAAGAACTGGAAATAAATTATTTGCTTATCTTCTTGTTTTTGTTAGGATTAAGTATTTCTTACGTTTTTTTGTTAGAATTGATGTTAGTTTTTGATGGTAAATTTTTTGAAGGAAATGTCGTTTTTTTTAATCTTTGTACTTTAACACTCTCGCCTTTCGCTGTATAAAATTAAATAAAGTTAAGAAATCGTATTTACTACCTAGTAAATTACATGAAGGTATAAAATCATTTAATGCAAAATGATCGCTGCAAACGTTTTGGTATTTTGTGACTTTCTTAATTTTTAAAAGTTTTTGCCACTTTTTACACAATTCGGGTCTTTTTATGGGAAAGTAATGCATGGAAATAGGCCCTCCCACATAGTTTTTACAATGAGGGACAGAGCAAAAACGCTTGCAGGTACTCATATCTCCATTGATTGTCAAATTGACAAAAATGAAAAACTGATATTGTCAAAATTTGTTTTCCCCATTTGGATATTTCCAAGCTGGACACCAGAGGTCAGCTACTTTGCTGATTTTCTCCTATTGCCGATCAGAGAATTTGCTTGAAATTTTGTATTGCCAACGAAAATTCGTGTAGTGTATATCTGAAAATTTTACAAAAAACCTTTGGGGACGCATGTACGTCAAAAACATAAGCATATGAGTGGTACAAAACATTTCATTTGAGCTGAAAAGAGGTTACCGACTTTTCTCGTTCTGGACGATCGTCAACAGCAAAAATGGTGGAAAATGTAACGAAAATCAAAGAAATGATGACTGTAAATCATCACTTAGGTTTAAGAGTAATGTTATTTAGCCGTTTACAAATGTTTCTAAAAAATATTGTCTGGAAAAGGGCAGATTTTCGGAAAAACAACTCTGGGACTTTGCATCATGACAGCGCACTTGCACACACAGCGACAACCCTGCACAAATTTTTGAATAAAAACTCAACAAATGTCATCAATCAAGCACCGTATTTAGCTAACATGGCCTTATATAACGTTTTCCCAAGCTTTTGTGAAGTAAAAACAGTTTAAATTTCATATAGATTTTCATCTTGGAACTCACGAAGCTGCGGAGTAGAGCAGCAGGTTGTGCACTTTTATAAATAGTTTATCAATTGCATCATTTTGTCCTAAATTTGAATTAAGAAAATGTTTTCCACATTTTTCAGTTGTTTTATTCATATCTATTCCTATACAAATACATACCTAAAAAACAGTTTTTTTTGTATACGCTCCCAAAACAGCTGTATTTTTTTCTAACTTTTTCAATGTGTGATTAGTCTTTTTGAGTTTCAAGGTATTTTTAGAAAAGAGGTTATACTCCCCCCTTCTTATTTACATCTTTTTTTAACTCTTAAAATTGTGCTTTTGTTTAAATTCTATTAGTCTACAACTGCTTTTATGCTACAGCCAAGGTGTGTATATTACTTTACCTTCACCAATATATAATAAGTCGTATAAAAATTGTACATTCCCAAAAGTACCGTGCGATCAATAAAAAAATTAGAGTAGGCAACACGTTGGCTGGGAATCTGGGCTGGAAATTTTCCACACAAATTGAAAGTGAAAATGACCATTCACCGTTTTCGGCTTATACAGCATTTTTGTAATAACTTGCAACATTAAAAAAATTCTGCTCTAAAGTGAACATTATTATAAAATGTAGTAAAAGCAAAAGCTTTTAAACTATAGTAAAAACTATAGTTTTGTCTCTTTCTTTCTCATAAAATATAAATTACGTCTATCTTTTACTTATACAAGTAGAAGCATTTACTTAATTTTATTCATACGGCTCATGATTTTACTCAAAATGAATAAAACGCAAACTTGTCAAAGTTTCCGCCGACAGTTGATGTCAAAAATCAGGATTGCCAGCTGAAGGACTAATCACCGCCTACTCTATTTTTTATTTCGATCGCACGGTATTTTGTTTATACCATTGTTGACTTGGCTTCGTTTTTACAAGAACCTCTATTATTTTTAGAAATTCACACAAACCAGAATAAAGTTCCAAAGTTGCAGGTTGTACGCACGGGAACCTATTATTTTTAAAACTTTGTTCTTTAATCTTTACTAAATTTAATCTTTAAAAAAAATGCAAGATTTGTTCCCGAACAATTTATTAATATCATATTTTACATTTAAAAACATAATTTTAGATACACTGTGTTACACATTATTACGAGTATAACTCCATGGTCGATACATGGTACATTATATTTGGAAACATTAAACATGCTTACAGGTACGTCATGTTTGAATTTTTTTTTTAATATTGCACTTTTCAAAAGTACAATACATGACAATAATTACTGTTATGTAGTTGATTACTTGAGTAAAACGTGTATGTAATTATTATCATGACAGGTTTTAGTTAAATAGATAATTAAATGTGACAGCAGGCGACACTGGGCTCAGTAATGGCGACTGTTGACACACCAAATTGTGTTACAACTAAAGCGTATAATTTCTATATTTCACGTAATAAATAGTTATTTCATTAAATACCGACTTACTGTAGTTAAAATATACAATAGATTTCGTTACATGCTTCAACTAGATATTTTATAAAATAACGTGTGACTGAAACTTATGTGATTCTCCATGTCATAATCTTCGTCCCTTTTAATTTTTTGTTTGAAATAACAAAACTATACTATACTTTCACTACCTCACATTGGTACTTTATGAAATAATTAGTTATTATATGAAATACGAATTATATGCTTTTACAATAACACATACATATTTAAAAAAATGTTTATAATGGAATTAACCTAATTTTGTGCGATTTAATTACGCGTTATCTTACAATAGTAAACGACCTTACAGTAAGAAGCGTTCAGTACTATCATTACATTAAATATACATCAGATTAATATTAAGTGAAGTGAGTGGAGTACAGTCACATACATTTAATATTAATTCAAGAAATTGTACAAATCTCTTATTCACAGCACCAATAAAAATACAACTTAGCAAGAATGGTCTTGCCCACTTGAAGACTTTATACATTAGAATTAGTGACTAGAAATATCCGGATTACCCTGTATTAAACACTCTAAATAATCAACAATTATTTAAATTGTATGTATCAAGTTAAAGCTTGATTTATACCATTCAGCTACCAGAATCAATGTCAAACATTTATAAATACTTAAACATATAATTTACGCAAGTACAGGTTTCGTATAAAATTAGTATATATAAATATTTTAGTATATCTACGATCGTATGAGTATTTTATTAGACTTGAACTGGATTTCTCCGACATTTAAGACTAGACGTCCTTAAGACTGCTTTCTGTTGCTATAAAGGAAAATCCTTAGTTTGTACGCAGGGAAGAATTCCTATTGGGCCATTTCCGACGTTGCAATTGTTGTTAATTTTCGGAAGATGCTCTTGAGAGCTGTTGAGCATATTGTTACTTATAGCAGGCGAGGTCTGCGTGCTGATATCTTTTGTTTCGGGCTTCACCTTTGACTCGCTTAAATCTATTAAACACAAAAATTACATATAAGTTAAGTTAAACCAAGTGTGCTGCAAAGAAAAAAATATTAAAAAGAAAATAAAATTTCATTACACCCTCGAGGCTGTTTCTTTCGATCAAATAACTCGGGAGTAATTTTTCAGCTCAGTTTTAATATACTGTTATTTAAAACTGCAAATTTAAAAACTGCAATATCTCAGATGGGAAAATGTGTTCTTTACCAAAATGGATTTAATGAGATTCACAAATGATTATTACTTCCCAATTTTTATTGAGCTACAAGTCTTTGTATTAGTATCAGTTGGGGTAGAAAGTAAAAAAAATGCTATTTTATTCAATATTAGATAATACGAGTAATTCCTAACCTTTTTGAGGTCGGAAAATTTAACTTTATATCCCTTGTTCGGAAAGTAATTTATTTAAGATTACTACGGTTGCAAGAATAACTAAATGTGATTGTGAATAAATTGTATACTATACAACCTTGACATTAGTGTATTATTTTCCCTTAGCCTTTTTACAATCTTGAGTACGCCTATCGATCTGAGCCTCGGGGTAATGACATTTCCCTGCTTGATGTTAATATACTATTTCATCAGTTCCTCGAAGTTGAGTTTGATCTTCGTAATAGTACATTGTTTGTTTTTAGTTTTTTTTTGTTATTTTATTTGTTATAGACAACTGCTTCCAGAAGGTACAAAAAAATGTGAAAAATATTATACTAAATTCGCGTTTTGATAATTTCCAGGTAATCGAATTTTTAAGTGAAGACACGTTTGTACTAAGCAAGAGGATAAATGGTGATTTGCTGCCTCCATCTTGGTATTTTTTATAAATTTTATTATAAACAGTTTTTTGTAGAAAAAAGTCAAACTACGGAAAAATTAACACATTTTCAAATGTGTAGTTAATATTTAATCTTATGTACAATTTTTTTCCGTTTTCAATTAACGGATTAGTTAAGAAGAAAACTAATTTCGAGCTGTTTTTCGTCTTTGAAACGAATAATAACTTGTTTCAATTTTAAATTGACTATGAAAAAAAAACTTATTATACAGGGTGCGCCAGAACTCTCGCCACAGAGAAAAATGTCAAATGCCAGAGGCAATAGGTCGCCAAAAAGTGGAGCCGAAGAAGTAATTTTTGCTTGCATAAGAAAGTTATTAGACTCTTAAATCCACCAATCCCAGAAGGGCACCTCAAGGTGTGACTGAAAAATTATAACCGTTGCTAGGTTACGAAAATAATACCAATTTGGCCAGAATTTAAAAAAATAGCTGGTCTACAGTAATTTTGCGTTTGACATTTATCGTGATGTGGGTGACATAACTTGCTAGTTTCCAGTATTTTTCTCGCTGAAGAGGTTGTACACGAGTATAATGAGACAGAATCGTTAATTATTATCAACAATTATCAAAAATTATTGAAACATTCTGGAAATTCCTGATGAACCGCGACTTCTCTAAAACTTCTTCACAGGTATTGTTCCTTCTCAACTTTTTCTTCGATCTGATACAAATTAACAAACCGATAAATGAATTTTAGAGCTTGAAAACTAGTGTATTATCCTTACGAAACAAAGAAGCAAGTGAGAGTGAGAGACCAGAAAAACATAAAGTAGGTACGCAAGTTTCCTTATTTACTTTAATGCAAAATTAACAGGAAAATGTACTTTTTATAAGAAATTGTGCTTAAATAAAACAGGTTACTGATTTTAATATCAAAATTGTAGTTTTACTCTCGTATTTAGGCATTTTTGCCCAGTAGAAATTCTAACCTCAAAATTTCAACAATTTATTGTTGTTTTCTTCCACTCACATGAGCTTACTAATAACCCCTTGGCTGTTTTTTCATTAAAAAATCCAGAAGAATGTTGCGATGATTGTATTTAGTACGAAAAGTTAGCATTTTTGCTAATGTTTTAATTCCGAGGGCATTTCAGCAACGCTTTTCGGTGAATTTGTGGGTTGGTCTTCTGGGGAATCATGTGGTCTGTCAATAATATCAACTAATTTCAACATAACGTGACTTCCTTTCTAAAAAGTACATTTTTCTGTTAATTTTGCATTAAAGTAAATAAAGAAACTTACGTACTTCTTTATGTTTTTCTGGTCTCTCACTTGCTTCTTTGTTTCATAAGGATAATGCACAAGTTTTCAAGCTCTAAAATTCATTTATCGGTTTGTTAATCTGTATCAGATCGAAGAAAAAGTTGAGAAGGAACAATACCTGTGAAGAAGTTTTAGAGAAGTCGGTTCATCAGGAGTTTCCCGAATGTTTCAAAATAATTTTTGATAATTGTTGTTAATAATTAACGATTCTGTCTCATTATACTCGTGTACAACCTCTTCAGCGAGAAAAATACTGGAAACTAGCAAGTTATGTCACCCACATCACGATAAATGTCAAACGCAAAATTACAGTAGACCAGCTATTTTTTAAAATTCTGGCCAAATTGGTATTATTTTCGTAACCTAGCAACCGATATAATTTTTCAATCACGCCTTGAGGTGCCTTTCTGGGATTGGTGGATTTAAGACTCGAATAACTTTCTTATGCAAGCAAAAATTACTTCTTCGGCTGCACTTTTTGGCAACCTATTGCCGCCGGCATTTGACATTTTTCTCTGGGGCGCGAGTTCTGGCGCACTCTGTATAATTCTTTAATCTGTAATTTTGCAGTACCTTGAATTAAATTTGTGATTTTGAAATGATGAAATGAAGTTGGCAAGATTAAAAAGAATGTCTCTGATTTATTTAGGGTTGCAGAAACACGGTGTATTTGGAGCAAAAATTCCATTGAATTGAAAAAAAAAACACGTTTACTTAAATTATTATAAGTTGGCAACAATAAATAACGAAAAGAAGGTGTACTCGTGAAAGGAAAACGCATTATTTTAGTAGTTTTTTTACTGGTTTTTAGTATTTTTTTTCTTAATTGTCAAAATCGAAAATGATTTTCGAATTTATCTAGCAACTTTTGAACGTTTTTTTGAGAAAATAGAGAACTTGAAACTTATTCAATCGTATTTCGTATTTTTGTGGTTGTCTAAGGGACGAATAATGTACTCGTATAAAATCGTCATTGATTTTTTTTCCATATTTTTACATCCAAAAATTCGTTAAATGGTGGAGAAACGTTTAATTAAAAAAAAAAAATGTAAATGGTAAATATGGTTTTCTAAACTAGAATTAGAATACTCGACGACGAATGATTTTCGAAATATCTGGCGATTTTTGATCAATTTATAGGAAATATTAAAGAAATGTAGTAATTGAAAATATTTGAATCGCACCAGATGACGTTTTCGTACTTGTGGTGGGGCTTATGAATAAAATTATTATTTTTTTAATAAATAAGGAGTGAATTTTTGTTTGCAGCATGTTTATTGTAAATGTACGGGGTTATTCACGGGAGGGTTATTTCTGAAATTTTTTTTGCCGCAACCAACATTACCAATATCAATAACTGTTAAATTAAATATGTTATTTCTTTTAAATTTGAAATCTAAGTAAGTTGGATAGATTCGCCAGAAATGTCAGATTGATAGATAACCTATATTTAATTAAAATTTAACAAATAAATTAACAAGTTAAGTTAGTGTAAAAGGTGTTTGAAGTGTCTACCATCGACTTCTAAACATGCGCCTAGTCGGTTGGTATTGTTGGTAAACGATAACAAAACATGTCGCATCGTTTGAGAGATGATTTTTTTGCTTTAATGTCAAAGAGACAAGACTAGTAACAGCTATTGTGGATTTAGTTATAATTATTTTCAAAATTTGAAATCAAAAAATTGTTGCAATATGTATAATGGGTTGCGGCAAAAACAAATTCAGAAATAACCCTCTCATGATTAACCCTGTACATTTTTAAATTGGATGGTCGAAAGATTTGTTATCAAAACCCCTCATATGTCAAAATATTATTATTATTATTTTTTATTTTAAACTACACAGCTACAAACCTTCATCTTTTTCTACTGGGGGTACATGTTTTTGGATTTGTTGCTTCTGATCACAAGTGGCTGCTGTTACCATCACTGCAGCCATCATACTACCAGAACCAGTGGTAGCCGAACTTTTATTGATAGCACTGTAACGCATTGGCATCATGCTTTGGCGGACGTTGCGTTCTGGTCTTATCAAAATAATGTAGAGCTAGAAAATACACAAGTGGTTTTAAGAAGTTGTTAACTAATCCAAAACAACAAGTCTTACCTTTGGTGAAAATAAACATGCTACAGTAACACTTGCAGACAAGCTTATGGTAACTGACATACTTGTTATTCTAAGTGCTACGTGATTGGCTGTTCCAAAGTATAGTGGTACAAATGCTAGCCAGATTACACAAGTTGTGTACATTGTAAAACCTGAAAAAACAAGTCACAAATTTATGATTTTACGTTAATAATTTTCTGTGTCCTAAAACTTCTTCGTTCAAATTCGGAAGAGCTCGAATTGTAATTTTAGAAATTAATTAAAACTCGCGCCCCAGACAAAAGTTTCAGATAAGATAAGATAGATACCAGGAATATGGAGAAAATGTTTAAAAAATTCTATCTGTCAAAAAAAATTGACTTTTGTTTTTTGACATTTGACATTTTTTTATGTCTATTTAATGATACTGATGATCTTGTACATGTTTTTTTTACAATTATTTAGAAAAGGTACAAAAATTTTGCCAATAAAAGCCACAAACAACATTAAACATTTTTTCCATGTTCCTGGTATTTTACCTTATATGGTATTTTCCTCTGGGGCGCGAGTTCTGGCGCACCCTGTATTTACACCATGATAATTTCCTCTAGGGAGCTAAATTTTTTTAACTATAGTCTTTGACAAAAGAAACTTGCATAGTAGGTCGCTATTAAAGAAACATTAAAAATGTTCCATAACTCATAAACGAAAAGATATTTTGAAAAAAATATTGTTAATTTATTGAGGAAACAATTACAACAAACAATTACATAAAAAAAACTGCACAAGCTAATTTACATCATGTAAAACTGACGCCTAATGACTGTAATGAATTACAAAAAGTGTCAACACCGTTAATTTTGTGTCAAGTTTGTCTCATGAAGTTAATAAAATAGTAAAATGAACGAAAAGTATAAAATTGATGTACCCTACATTTTTATCAAGTGTTTTCTTTGTCATAATAATATTTTAACCTTGCTATTTTAATTTGTAACAATCTATGAAAAACAGTGATAAAATGACGTTTATTTTACTGTCATTGTCCCGTTTTTTGTAAAATCAATTGTACATTTTTATAGTGAACGTGGAAAAAATATTTTAAAAAATCTATCTGTCAAAAATATTTGACATTTGATCTTTTTATGTCTGTTTAATGTTACCAATGATCTTGTATATGCTTTTCATAATTATTTAGTAAAGATAGAAAAACTTTTCCAATAAAAGCCAAATAATCATAATTACAATTTAGAATACAGCTTCTTTGCTTCTGCTTCTAAAAGCTTGCAGCAAAAAACATGGGAAATGATTTTTCCAAAAGAAATAAATAGGGTCAAAATGCAAAATTTACACTCCCATAATTTGGAAATTTTTATAGATAGAATTTTTTAACATATTTTCCATGTTCCTGGTATCTTATCTTACTTGGGGAGCGACTTCTGAAACACTGTAGAGTGAAAACAAATAATTATTATTACCTATGTGTTTGGATTCGTTGAAAGCTTCTGGAATTTTTCTCGTCAACACCGCGTATACGGTACAGATGACGATGAGGAAGATCGGGTAGGTGAAAGCAATCATATAGGAGGCATCGATGTAAGAGGAGCACACCAGAAGGTTATCCTCTCTAGTGGGGTAGTGATGTATGGCTCGAGCTGGCGAAATCACCATCCACACGCCATTTATGAGAACCTGCAAGAGACAGTCGACAAAGAGAGCGTAATTTTAAATGTAAGTGCTTTTAGTTACCTGGACTCCAACCAGTCCGGAACAGATGATCAGTTGGGATCTGGGTGATATAAAGCTTGGCCTTTTTGCCGAATGCTTTCCAGCATTGAAAATACGAGAAATGCGGTTGGTTTTTGTTAGAAGTGCGGCGTATACCACCGTAAAACAAAATCCAGCACCAAATCTGAAATCGGTGGCTAAGATTATTGCATAGTTCTAAGGGTTTTGGATTTAATGCAATTGTTGAAATCATTAAATTTATCAAATTTTCGAATATTCTTAAATAAAAATAATAACATACTAGAATGAGAAACACTCTAATTAATCAAAGACACTTAAAAAACAAATATTTCTGTAACCTAAAAGTCGAAAATGTTATAAAGAAGCTAACGTTTAGAAAATGCAAATTTCACAATTTCTAAGCAACAAAATTGATTTTATTGTCAGCAAGTAATGAAGAATTGATACCCAGAATGTGCGACTAAAATGTTCAAAGATTTCAGGGGATGTTCCTATAGACTTTTTTCTGGAAATACTTCCTAAAGTCGAATTTATGATAAATAAACTCACTGCGGGGCAGGATTGGGTAGCAATGTATTATTACATTACTACTTAATTTGCTACGTGTCGCAAATACATTTACTACATGCTTGTTTTTGCTTGTTTTGTTCCATTTGCTACATGTTACAATAAAAACTTCTATTCAAATAAACAACTTTATTAAAAAATGTAAACATAAGAGCAAATTTCAAAAAAAATGTATCAACTTGAAAAACAATGTACAGAGTGATTTTTTAAAAACGAGCCATTGTAAAAATCAAAGAAAAACTAAAAATCTCAAGACAGAGACTATTTACTTCAATTTCTGGAAGAAATGTTGATTCTTGACTTCCTCTCTTAAAAGCAGATAAAATCATCTTCGAAACTCTTTGTAAGTTTTATTAATATTTCTATAATTATTATTATCACCGGAAATGACCACACAATTGACACTTTGCACCTATAAGCGCTCATTGTCCAACCAACACTTTACAAAAAGTAGTTTTTCGTAAAGGTTGTGGGCTTTTTGACTGTGGTCCAAAGTATTTCTATCCGTTGCTATTGCACAAATTATTATTCGTGATACGTTTTAACAATTTAATCGGTAAAGTCTGTTTAACATGTGTTTGACCAATGACAGCAATTTGATACTTTTGTTACATTTACGACGTCCCAAATGTAGCAACTGTAGTAAATGAGATATATTATCGAAAAACTTACGTTTACGCATACCTGCTGCGGGGTTGTTTTCCGGAATTAATATCAGTGCACGGTTTAAGGAAACTTATTTTTTGAAAGTAGTGCGTCATGCAAAAGTAACACAAGCGACATTTTTTAAAGAAAATTAATCAACAAATTTGAAATTTGAGGAATTTTTTTTTTAAAAACGTTTTCCAAAACAAAATTTTTCGCCTTAGACCTTCCTTGGGAAGCATTTGCTGATCTACAGATGTCCAAAGGAACTTTGTTTTTCTATATTGACATAAGGAATCACCCTCCGAATTTTTTTGTGTATACAAATTTGTAAAAAATGATTTAAAAAATATCCACGAAAAAATAACAAATAAATCTATTAAAGATATTAAGGAAATCTCCCCACTCCATGATAGAAACTGAATTATACCTACCGAGATTGATCATTTTTAATTTTAATCCTTTATTTCAATTTTTGATCGGTATTTTGAAGAATGAGCAGTCGAAAAAATCATAAATATAACATTGGAGGAAAGCCTCATTCTCTACCTTAGGTGATTACTGCTCTCCGCTTCGCGTCGCGCATTAAACTTCATCTCGAGAGAGATTACATGTCTTTTCTCCCTTGATATACAAATAGCAATTTTTGTATTATTTGTATTTGCGTTATTATTAGAATCTACATACAGAATTTATCGTCACGTCCACGCATTTTAAGTATTTTTATTTTTTTAATTTTATGTTTAATTAGACGAATTTTAAAATCAATTTGGATGATGAGATAAAAAAAAAATCAAAGAAAGTCACGTAATATTATTTAAAACTACCAATACCTTTCTAAAATCTCAAATAATTCTCTTAAGAATTTTTTTTTAAATACTTTGTCTCGACAGCGATTTTCAAAAATTCGGTGTTTACGAATATAATAACGTAGATGAGAATGAGAAAAAGCAATATAAAAAAATATACCGGGTGTCAAGTTAGCGTTACTAAGAAAGGACCTATCAAGTCATTGTTGCCAATAGAGAACTTGTCAGCTAAAAGCCCTTACAATGATTGTGCTTCCTGAATGTTTTTGGATAATAAATGTTAATTTTTCAATAAAACACATCAATAATTGAATGGAAAAGCTTTTCAAGCCAAAGGGAGATTTCCTTACATTATTAGAGTGATAAGTCATGTAAATTTAGCTGACAAATTCTCTGTTGGCAACAATGATTTGATAGTTCGTTTCTTAGTAATGCTAACCCGACAAATTCAAATTTTGATTTTTCGAGGATCGTTTTCACTGGAGAATCGACAAAAAGGGCGATAAGAGAGCTCTTTTCGAGAACTACAAGCTCCATCAATCAGATTTTTATTTCTGTTATTCCTGTAGCCGGAAAAAAACAAAAAGTAATTTCCCATGAAAATGTCCTATAGGTATCCAAGCCTGCCTGGGACACTCGGTATTTATAAATTTTAGACATTTATTAGCCTCGAAATTTAAAAATTAAAATCATATTAAATAAGTAAAAAATAGATTTGACTACTGGTTAAACCCATGGATAGGTGGAGTAGAAAATTCTTATAGTTTGTTTTTTATTTTTTTACCAGTGTGAGATTGCAAGTTAGAACTTTAAGAAATTGTATTTAAATCGTAGTTTGCAAACATTGCCAAGAAACTGTCGCGGGTAAAGCTCTGATTTACTTGTTTAAAAAGAGTGAATTGTAACAAGAAAAGTTTCTCTGATAAAAGCTTGGTTGATTTAATTACCTTTGGATTCCACAGACAACGTCGTTTGGTCGTAAGACTAGAGCATAAGTTACACTGAAGCACATAAGAATTCCTGCCAATAAAACGTAGCTTAATTCCCTTCCTGAAGCTCTCACAACTGGAGTGTCATTGTGTCGAATAAAAACCCCACAAACAAACATCGTAATAAGGATTCCTGTGGAACTAAAGGCCATTGCACCGATTGCCCAACCGCTGTCTGGTCGCAGATACTCTTCAGGAATGTCCTCGCAACGGATATGATGGGGATCGGGAACTGTTCCTTGGGGACACGCGATGCACTGTGTTGGATCTTTGGGATGAAGAATCTGAAAAAAAAAATCACTTAAACTCATGTATTGAATTACTGAAAAGCGACAATAGTGGCAACTAATGTAATTCAACGAATAGAGTCACTCTCAAATCTTATCAGATAATTGGAATTGAATTAAACAACTTTACTGTATCGAGTTCCATTATAGCTGGGAATTGGATTGTATAATTAGGTGACAGGTTTAGGCAGTAAACATGTCCAACTGGGTCAATCTAATGACAACAGCCAGAAATAATTAAATATGTAATTAAGTATGTTCACTGTGACATGCATAAACAATTCTACAATTTATTTAACCTTCGAATTATAGAAACGATGACATATATTCTCTAGGAAATGTATCCTATTCGCCCTATGGGCTTGATGAGCGATTGTTTTGTAATATAACAAACTCATAAATATTTATAATTATCATTGCTTTTTAAACAAATGAAGGCATAACTTTAGTAATAAGAAATTGTAAAATTTTAATTGTTTTTCTAACAATTTCGCGAATTACGAGCAAATATTCTAACCAGCAAAAGAATTCGTTATGAAAAGTCAATTTAAAGACCAAACAAATTCCGTATCCAATTTTTTTTTGCATTCACTCCCCCCCTCTATGATTTTCACGAGCCGTTCAATATGATTGTCCTTGTTAACTGGAAGTACAAAAAATAACAATGAAAATACACTACTCCAAAAAATTAAAGGAACAAAAAATTTTCCTAAATTTTTTGGTGATTTTTGAAAGGCTGTAACTTATCGAAAAATGGTCGTATCTAGATTAAAAAAAAACATTTTGAAGCTTTAAGTTTGAGTTTTGAGAAATATTTTTTTGTGCTACGGTTATCACACACTTCTAAGTAATAGCGCGAGTAAAAAAATCCAATTTGTTTTGTTTTTGGTCCATGAACGTTGAGATTTTTTTAAATTAAGTTATCACACAATTCTAAGTAATAGCGCGAGTAAAAAAATCCAATTTTTTTTGTTTTTGGTCCATGGACGTTGAGATTTTTTTTAGTTAAGTCAATGCATATGCCGGATAACATATTTGTTTACCTTTAATATGCTTTCTTCATATTCTCTTTACGTCAATTTCTCGCTGAGATATCTGACTTTAAATGAAAAAAGGTCCCCTTGTTTTTAACCATCGATATCTCAGCAACCAAACTAGAATAAATGTCTTATAAGATCTTCTTATGATTTTTTTGAAAATATTTTTTTTTACTTTTAACATTGATTTAAAGAAAAGAGAACAAAGTAAGTTTTTGCGTTGTTTTAGTAAATCTACCGCGTATTCACCAATATTGATGGGGAGAATAATATTTTTAGGTGTTTTTACAGCTTAATGTAACATGCTATCCGGCCTACAAATTAAAAAAAAACTAAAAAAAAATCTCCACGTCCGTGGACCAGAAACAAAAACATAAAAATTTGGAATTGTTTTTCTCGCGCTATTACTTAGAATTGCGTGAAAACCGTAGCACAGAAAATTTGCCAAAAGATCTCAAAACTAGAAACTTAAAACTTCAAAATGGTTTTATGTAAAATCTAGATACGACCATTTTTGGATGAGTTACAACCTTTCGAAAATCACTAAACAATTTAGGAAAATTTTTTGTTCCTTTAATTTTTTGGAGTAGTATAATTTGCATTGAATGATGACCCTGAAAGTTTTTATGCACAAAAAAATTATCAGGTGTTTACACGCGTCAGTTAAGTAAGTTGTAGACGAGCTTTCGGGTGAATCATTGATTTGAAATCAAATTGTATCAATTTGAAAAAATTGTCATTATGGCCATCTACTCAAATGCCGAATTGAATAGTGTCAATCTTTTTTACCCTTGGGTAATCTTTCAAAAGTCAATTTTATAGACTACAGTTTGAAGAGATGATGCTGTAGATAAAGTTAAAACATTGTTTTGTGATTGTAACTTTTATTATAGAAAAAAAAAACATAAAAATTGTATACGATTTCTTAGTTTTTAGACACGTATTTAATTGCTTTTATGTTTCTGTCTTTTGACAACATTTGATAAATAAAATTGGGCGACAGCAGGGAAATGGAAAAAGGGATAATTGTAATAAAATTCTAAATTAAAATCTTAAAACAGTTGAAGCAGTAACAGAAAATTCAATTTAATATGATTAGTTTTTGCATTGCTTTGAAGCGAAGGGAGGCAACACTATTTTTACTAGTTTACATCGCTTTTAAATGTAATGAAATCAAAATATTCAAATTTAAATATAAAATTAATAACTCAGGTGTGTGACACTTACCTGGTATTGTGTACAATTGAAACAGTGCCAACAGCAACTTTCGCCCTCGACGTATTTCTTAGCTTGTCCCAAGTCACAAGGAAAACTGCATACAGATTCTGGAGGTTTGGGGTGGCCAAGTTTAAATTGTATCTCTGAAAAAAAGTGTAAACATTTATTATTTAATTCCTAAATAAAGCCCAAAGTTTAAGTTTTCTGCCTTTTTGTATTTAACGCAAATCATTGGTTCAGATGTTGGTACCTACTTATCTATAAGGACAATTCAAAACGAAATCCAGTACATCACAGACTGTACAGGGTGATTTTAGTTAGTTGTGCAAAAATTTGTAGAAGTGATAGTCGAGGACAAAAAATGTGGAAATAATTTTTGCCTTATCTTTATAGTTTTTAAGATATGGGGTTTTATATGGTCCAGTAAATTTAAATTTGGCGCGCGCAATACCTATTACATTGTTCTTAAAAAAACTGAATTCTGCAGAGCATAGTCAATAAATTTGTTGTATTTTTTTAATTCTGTGAATACAGAAGTTTAAAGCACCTATTTTTTCATTGTCCTTTTTTCCTCCACCATTCACAGACCTTAACAGATTTCGTTTATGTTGCATTTTTTGACGAATTTTCGGACGCTAAAATGGAGGTTGTACCAATTTCTACACAACTGATAAAATCACCTTGCTTACAGGGTGTTTCATACAATTTTACGAGGCTTGCGCCTAATGTACGCACCCAAATATACAAAAGTCACAAAACACTGGATACAAGAAATACACTTCTAATTATTTAATTTTTGGAAACCCATGACAGTAGTTGTCAAACTAATCACTGTTTCATTAATAGTCATAAACTCCAGTTTTTCAGAAACAATTATCATTTGTTCTATCAAGTGACTGCATGAATATGATTCTAGTTATCTATCTTAATCACTAACTAACTAAAAATGTTGTAATTTTTGAAAGGGTGAACAAACTAGAGAAGATTATCTAATTTTTCAAAATTTGTAATCGAGTTCGTATGGGAATATGTATTGTTGATCTTATAGGCGCAGGCTTTGTAAAATTATGTGAAACACCCTGTATTTCGTCTATTATGTAATTTGGAATTAAAAACTTGCATTTTCAGACATCATCTGTACGTTTTCAGTCATTAATCGTCTGTAAAGTTGACAAAACAGTTCGTAAAGTAAAGTCCATTTTTTTTTTAAACAATTGTCAAAGTTTTGTCGTGTTGGTATGAGTCACTAGTTATTTAATGTTAGGAGATATAGAAAGATATTCTGACACTTCAAAATTACTGATATAACCTCAAACCTGATCTAGGGAGATTTTTACAATACAGCTGCAGTTTTTAGGGTGGTACAGTCTGGTCTTTGAGGGAGTTTTGACATTGACAATTGTTTTTAAAAAAAAAGGACTTTATGCTATGTTAGTTGTACTTATACTCGTAATTGTTTGAATTTTTACATAATTTACAGCATTACAGTTTTAGAAACAGAAGCTCATAACAATTTAATTCAATTTTTTTACAACGTGTCGATAGTTATAGTCTGTTCCATTTAATAAACAATTCTCAGTGTCAAAATTAGAAAGAATTTTCGTTTCATTGAAGAAATTTATAAACTAGGTGTATAGCTCACCCTAAATAAGGGTACGTAATGTAGATCTAATTTTGACACTGACAATCGTTTATTTAAAAAAAAAAACGGATAATAAGTGAATCGAGTTTCTTTATTTTGGTGGGGTAAGTGGTATATTTAATTTATTTTATTTTTACTTATTAAAAATCATAACCTTTCAACTTTCATTCCCCAATTTTATGGGTAAAAGTTAAGGCTCACCCTGTATATTATACCTAATATGTAGTCAAATAATTTTGAAATTATTTACATTCAAATTTAATTAGTACCCCTATGAATATTTTATTGCAATTTCCCAAAATGGTTTAACCAATTTCTACATTTTTTCATTTTTAAACTACAGCATATGTATGAATTTATGATTTGTATTAGAATCAACTGTTCAAAGACATTTGAATGCTGATAAAAAGTTACACAAAGTTCGACTTACATTTGATAATTCTGCTTTTGTCGCTTGTATGTAGCGTAAATGGCGGCAACGCCCCAACTGTGAAAGATTTTATACAAGAGAGAACGAACACCTATAGTAATATACTCAATACTTTTAAAGCACAAAGAACGAACAGAAACCATAAAGCCATTGAAGAGTCGCAATAAATGTTAAAAATGTTGGAAAATATTGATAAAGAGGACGCGAACAGATTTTTAGTAAAATGTTTGCTTTATTTTGACATTAATAAAAAGTAAAACTCATTTATCCGCAGTCATATTTGAATCTGTCAATTTCATGGCATGACAACAACTGGGAACTAGATGATTACTCAAACTAGCCGGAAATAATTATTATATACCCCGAAAAAATTGTATATTAAGCATCAAGAACGGTAAGGACATTTTGTTTAGAGGAGGAGCAAAGCGACGACTCCAATTATTGTCTGAGATCGGTAAGTCAACGCTCGTCATGCTTATGACATTTTTTGCGAGCTTGATTTTTGTTAGTTTTTTAATAAAATATCTAACAAATGTTCTTTGGCGAAGTTTTTGAATGCTTACCGACTTAGCAACATAAACAAAATACTTACAGACGAGTTGGGTAAGCAACGAGTAAATACAACTTACTGTCTTGGAGACAGAGGTGGTAAACAATCAAATAAAGCTCAATCGCGCAAAAAAATAAATACCTGAATTACATAACTTTGATGAGCCCCACTATCATTACATTACATTGTCACTTGAGTTTCTTTATTTACCAGCACGGCCATATCACATTTATAATATTCAGAAACTATCTAAAAAAAGGATTAAGATTTAATAGTCATTTTTTGGAATCGTGATTTTGACATTATTACAATTTTTATATTGTCATGCTCCGCTTACGTTGTTAAATCAGGATATTTATTACTCAGAAGCTATAGTAAATTGAATTTTAACAATGGATGATTGCGAATAAAATAGTATACAAACCTCGAAGGAAGGCTTCATAACAGCCTTGCGTTTTAACTAATCTCGAGCTTCGCTCTCGAACAGTTAACCAACGCTAGGCTGTAATAAAGCTCTTTCTTGCTCGGTTTGTACAGTCGGTTGACATAAAAAACTGGGACATCCAAAATTTGCTCATTGTGTATCAAACTTTTGAATTGTCACAATGTTCACTCAAAATAAAAATTGTCAGTTTAACCTTTTTGTCAAATTTAAAAAATGTCTAATTCACTAAACGTGCAAAAGCAAACAACGCCTTCGAGTTGGAATACCTGAACTCTAACTTGATGTTTCTGTCAATATGTCATTAGTATGTCATAATTTTTATAACTTTATTTGTAAGCCAAATTCACCAGATGTAAACTTGTGATTTTTTGACATATTCAATTATCATGCTTGTCAGTACACCAACTGTACTATTGAAAGAGCAATTAATCCATTTTATCATTTAGTTACCTTGTTTCGTTTTTCGCAATGTTCCATCCCTATAGGTAATGAAACATCGAATAATCATTTTTTGTCGATAATAATTTTGTATTGTTTTTTTTTTTAAATAGTAGCAAGTAGAGCTAAGAATAATGGCTAATAAAAAAGTGTAAATTATTACCTGACATGTTGAGTCTTAGTTCTCCTTCAACATATTCCCCAACTCTCACCCACTGATATTTCCCTTTAGATACTTGCTTGAAGTGGATGATGTTGTAGCGTGCGGGTCCATCTCCATTACTGTCAAAATGAAACCTGTCACCGCTCAAACCTGAAAAAATAAAGAAAACAACTTTTCAATGAGCACGAAAATGTGAAAGCCGTGTATAACATCTGTTATAAATGTGTCATAGGTATTTCATGAGTGTACATTTTATTCTGTTACATAGCTTTAGTATTATAAGCGTGAGAGAATAACGAAAGTATGCATCTGCAATGTATTGTTGCTTTAGTGTAAATAAAATTTGAAAAAAATTGTATATGAAAAAAGTACTAGATATACAGGCTGTTTCGGCTAAACCCCACATTACAAGTATTGGGAGTTCTAACAGCGATATTTATCTAAAATTTTGAATATGGCCATAATCGTTAAGATCCGGCTCAATAAAAATATTTTCAAGATGGCAGCACTTCCGGTTACACCGGAAATTGGTATCAACTTTGTTATTTTAAAGAAAGTTATATTTTTCTTGCGTTTTTGTATTAAACAAGTGATTTTGAGAGAGTTTTTATGAGTCTTCTCTATACCTAAATTTAACAGTTTTTGAATTATTTAGTCTTTTCTAAATAAAAATTAATTTGCATCCTCCTCTTCAAAAATCGATAACTCCACCAGAAAGATTACATCATTTTTTTCTTTTCGTGTATTTATAATTGGACAAATAATTAACAAACCTTTAAAATTTAAAGTTACATTTAAGAAACTTCAAATAACCGTAAATGATTTTTTTTTTAATGGAAGGCCCCAATTTTTTCTTCACTAAAGAAAGAGAATGTAATTCTGCATCGATCTGTATCAACATTCTCTATACCTAAATTTAATAATTTCCAGGTTATGACTTGACTTTTTTTACAATGGAAGTTTATTACTATCTATGGTAGTTTTCGCATAGTTTGCCATGGAAATATTTCTTACTTAAAAAACGCCATTTTTTTTCACAATTGTGTTATTCTTTTCCTAAATACAAATTGAATTTATTTAATCTAAATTTGAATAACTTTGATATTTTATTTTTTTCTTATTTCTATAACAACCTATGCTAAAGTAGCTGTGGCGAATGAATTTCTCACAATATCAAAACAAGTTGCTATAACTTGAAAACTATCAAACATAGGTATAGGGAATGTTAATACAGATCGAAGCAGAACTAAATTCTCCTCTATTTAGTAAAAAAATTGGAGTGTTTTATTTAAAAAAAAATTAGTTGAGGGTATTTGAAGTTTCCTAAACGTAACTCTACATTTGGCGGTTTGTTATTTTTTTTCCTATTATGAATACACCAAAGGAAAGATCTAACTCTTCTCTCTCGTATACCCAAATACGGTTCCAACATAATAAAAGATGGAGTTATCGATTTGTGAATAGGAAAATTCGAATTCAAAAATTTTTAAAAAGGTCTAAATATTTCGTAAACGGTTAAACATAGGTATAGGTATAGGAAACGCTAACAAAAACTTATTCAAAATCACTTGGGTAATTCAAAAACGCAATAAAAAACATAACTTTCTTTTTAAAATAACGAAGTTGATATCCATTTCCGGTGTAACAGGAAGTGTCGCCATCTTGAAAATATTTTTTTTGAGCAGAACCTAACCAATTAAGGCTATAAACAAAATTTTAGATAAATATCATTGTTAGAACTCCCAGTACTTCTAATGTGGAGTTTAGTCGGAACACTCTGTATATGTGGTATATGTACATTTTATTCTGCTACGTAACTTTGGTATTATAAGCGTGAGAGAATAATGAAATTATGCATCTGCAATGTATCGTTGCTTTAGTAAAAATAAAATTTGAAAAAAATTGTATATAAAAAAGTACATACTAGATATATTAAAATACGAGCTGAAGAAGGCATTTATTCAAGCAAAAGTTTCAAAATTCCAATACGAGCCGTGTAGTAGCGAGTTGAGGAACAAACGATTGCTTAAATGGCCTGTCTGTAACAAGTCTTTGATAAATAATAAAGTTTTATAATAAAAGACCCGTAACAAACACTCCATCTTTTATGTTTTTATATTTTGCGCTTTTTATGCTGTTTTTAGAAAAAAAAAAAGAGTTTTAAAATTTAGAGAATTTTGCGTCAGTTCGTGACATACCAACTAGAAATTGCTGCCTAGAATTTATAGATATTCGTTGCTAGGTTGCCATACATTTGGTTAGGTTGGATGCTATGGTGACAAACAAAAGATATCGTAATTGTTGTTAAAAATTGAAGAGTGTACTCAAATAACGTTGTATGTTACAATTCTTAACCTTCCAAGCAATGTAAAAAAACATGTGACAACAAAATTTCATTATTATTAAATCAAAAACTTAGTCTTACATAAAATTTATTTGAAGTCTAAATAGAAATAACATCATAACACAATCAAATCGTAAAAAAAACTTTATTCCACTCTAGTAGATTGAACCTTAAGAAAGCCAGTATATTGCAAGACAGAAATAGATTTTATTTAGATATTATGTTTGTTTAAAAGATACATATGCAACATACACATTTTCATTCGCTTATTAAATTATTTAAAAAAAACTTACTCGTATTTTGTCAATATAATTTCTCAGATCTATCAATTTTTTTTCTGTTTACTTATATCTCTTTTTTTGCATAGTGATTATGAAAGTTGAATTTTCATCACCATTAATCGTTATACTTTTTTAAACGATTTCTATAGAATTTCTATAAAATTTGGAACTTATATCAAGGTCACAGAATTCAGCATGTGCCATGTTATATTGTTCCACTAATAACTCAGTTAACCAAAAAATTCATACCGTAACAATATAGAATGACGAAAATAGCGTTGTTAAAGATGCAAAATATAAGATTTTTTTTTTAATACAAATAGTACGGCGATTAATTATTGTACAACAGCAACCCATTAGATATTAACACGGCAGTTTGTTACAACAGAGATTTAAATCCTTAGTTAGCTTTAACGAGCACACCCTACGCAAACAAATGAGTACATGTGATATTATGGATTCTCCGTTGCTTCTTGGTGCTAGCAAATTAGATTCCGCTCAAGAAAGATCAACATGTTGAGTCATCAGAATCTGACAAAACCTACCCTACTACGGACTGGCTAGTGGCGTACTCAAAATAACTAGCAAAGGGCACTCAAATGTAGAAAACCTGTATTAGAAATAGAAATTTGAAAATTAATTACAACCCAAACCAAAAATCAGGCTTTGAAAGCGAAAGTAATTTTAAGGCCCCTTTCAGCCTCTTCCTTCATGAATACAAAATGTTTGCATTTACTTCGCGAGTTTGACTTTGCTAAGGCTTCCTTCTAACTTCAATCAATTTTTGGGTGATCATACTTATTTGCTAATTAATTATGAAATAATAATAAGAACTAAGTAACTAATAATAGTTTGTAAAATAACCATACTCTTCTAACAAAATAGAAAAAAAACAAATACCTAGCTCTGAAACGAACTGATTTTTACACTTGATGGAAATTACGAAAGCACATGAAACGACCGACAGACTTTCATTCCTATTATAAAGTAATTTTAAAATTCTTTTTGGGGTGAAGACAAATTTCCAGGTAAATCAGGTAATTCAATTCTTAGGAAAACAGTAGCAACAAATACAGTCCGCCAGAACTAGCGCCCCAGAGAAAAATGCGATATAAGGTAAGATACCAGGAACATGGAAAAAATGTTAAAAAAATTCTACCTATAAAAATTTTGAAGTTATGAGAGTTTAAATTTTGCACTTGGCCTTTATTTCTGTTGGAAAAATAATATTCCAAGTTTTTTTGCTACTGGCTATTAGATAAGGAAACAAGGAAGCTGTACCTATTCTAAATTGTAACTCTGTTTAATGTTATTTCTGGCTTTTATTGACAAAATTTTTGTACCTTTACTAAATAATTATAATAGTTATTTATTCTACGAGTTTGACTGTAAATCGGACGCTTTATTTCACGAGTGAATTTTTAAACCACGAGTGTTAACGAGGTGGAATGAATGAACCGATTTACACGAAAACGAGTTGAATACAACATTTTATTCTTCGTATTAGACTCAACAAGGCTTTAAAATTGCTTTAAATCTGTTAAAAATAATCTGACGTTTCGTATTGAGAAATGCCAAACAATTGTCAAATAGTACATTATAAACGAGGTGGTAAATATGTCATTACTCCGAGTGCTTATGTATACGATCGAGAGGCGTCAGTCTTGGGATTGGATAAAACACAAGGGGTAATGCCATTCCCACCGAGGTTTGTATGCGATTTTATTCACAATCACATTATTTTCAGTAAAAAATTTGAGCAAAATAAAATTCTAACAATGTTAAGGTCCAAACGTGGTTGGCCATCCAAATTGCGTTTGATTTGTGACATTTCAGAAAAGTCAAAACAAAAATTGAAATAATGTGTGGATCTGATATTAAAATTGTTGAAATAGAGTAGTGCGCCCCCCAGAAGTAAGAAAAACTGCTACAGACGCAATTGAATACTAATTTAGGAAAATATGCGTAACTTGATTCTTAAATAGACCGACAAAATTTTATCCTTGGTAGTATCAAATGAGAACATGCTGGAAAAAATATTTAAAAAATTCTTTGTTTAAACGTTCTTCAAATAAAATTTATTAAAGTTATTTTCCAAGTAAAGGGTACGCCACTGATGTGTTAGCACAGGTAGTGGTAACCATGGTATTAAAAGTACTTGATTATTGCAACAATTCATAAACGCCGTAAGTGGCACGGATCAAGGGGGTTTTGCCCCTAAAAGGTATAAACATAAAAAGGGTAAAGTTTGTCTCCATTTATCCTTAGGAAGATGTGATAAATTTTTGTCGGTCTATTTAAGAATCACCCTGTATTACCGCCCAAGAGAAGTAATATTATTACTCCTCATGAGATATAATGATGTGTGTCCGAACCTTTAAAAGGTTAATAATCTGCAAATTACATTAGTGATTGTGAATAAACTTCCTTACACAGGAGAAAAGCCGTAAATTATGACAGTGTTGAAGAATAAAAAACATACAAGGTCATCAGAATCATTAAATAGACATAAAAAAAGTCAAATG